GTGACATGATCATGTTTCATATGTATATATATATATATATCCATATCATATACAGTATGTGTTCATTCATGATCATGTTGTCACATTCTGGTTTCCTCATCAACTTGCATTTGTTTATCAAAAATAGATGTTGAAAATAACCCTTACAAGGGATAGCACATGTTTTTTGTCCTGAATTTTGTCACTTTTCAGTGCACCTGGTATCTACATACGCCTTGTTGGGTTCAATTTTGTCGTTGACAAGCCATGTAGCGCACAAAGGTTTCCATGACCATTTCAATCCCCGGGTTTTCATGAATATACAAAGCGGATACTGTAAGCCATCGATGTGTGTGCATAGAGCTACGTGCTCCATGTGCAAGTCCATGTAAGACGTTGTGTCATAGCGTTTGTAAAGACATGAGGGCATAGAGCAACGTGCTCCATGTGTAAGTCCATGTAAGACGTTGTGTCATAGTGTTTGTAAAGACATGAGAGCATAGAGCAACGTGCTCCATGTGTAAGTCCATGTAAGACGTTGTGTCAAAGTGTTTGTAAAGACATGAGGGCATAGAGCAACGTGCTCCATGTGTAAGTCCATGTAAGACGTTGTGTCATAGTGTTTGTAAAGACATGAGAGCATAGGCATAGAGCTACGTGCTCCATGTGTAAGTCCATGTAAGACGTTGTGTCATAGTGTTTGTAAAGACATGAGAGCATAGAGCAACGTGCTCCATGTGTAAGTCCATGTAAGACGTTGTGTCATAGTGTTTGTAAAGACATGAGGGCATAGAGCAACGTGCTCCATGTGTAAGTCCATGTAAGACGTTGTGTCATAGTGTTTGTAAAGACATGAGAGCATAGGCATAGAGCAACGTGCTCCATGTGTAAGTCCATGTTAGACGTTATGACGCAGTGTGTGTAAGACATGAGCGTAGAGCATGTGACAACGTAGAAATGAAGTACTTACACGAAAACTCACGAAAATGCAAATACAGACGTTGGCCCCCGCCAAACGACCAAGTTGACATGAATGCGTGCTACCGGAAAGCGAAAAGAGAGACGTTATTGCCCCCCCAACGACCAAGAGGCAAGAAAAGAAAGCGGTCGACATGAATGCGTGCAAGACAAGATGAAGTTTGGGGAAACCCACCCGTCTACCCAACATGTTGATGACTGAAATCATGAATTCCATTCAAAGGGTGCATCGCAGCTAGTAAGTGGGCAGTCAGTATCTATAGTATTTGGAAAATCACCAGCCGTAGATGGGTTACATGTACGTAATTATATATGTAATATGATTGATTGATGATGATTAGTTTGGTGATAGCAATTTCCAAACTGTGTTGGACATGAAAGCATGTGGTCCTTATAGGTACTGTGATTTGGAGGGTCTTCCAGACCTGTGCACCAGCTGCCCCCGCGTCCAGACGCTCGGTATCCACGAGGTGCTAAACCCATGGTGAACTAAGTTCATCTAGGTTACAATGTGGGGACCCCAACATAAGCTGGTTTATAAACTCATTGCAATATAAAAATTAATGGAATTTAAATGGATTTAGTGGGATTTAATGGGATTTAAGAGCACCCCAGTTGTGCTTGTGGGTTGATAAACCCCAATAACTTTAGTTCATAGTGAAAATTGGGGCTATGTTCACCAACGTAGCTATTGTTTGGAGGCCCAACTTTGGCTAAGTCGGTGTATATCTCGGCCAGCTAGCACATCTGGTGGATATGATGTGTATATATATATATATAGGTCCACTTAGGGTTATCATCCAACTTGTGCCTGGCAGACACCATCATAGGACGTTGTGCAGGTGACCAGGATGTTGTAGAGGAAAATCTCTTTGGTTTGTTTGGCATACCATGGCATGCCCTGTTCCCTTGTCAGCTCATGAAGAAGCCTTCCGGGTTGAATCCCTCTTCCGGGAATCGAAGCTCCATTTAGCTCCCTACTGCCTGCTGTCAAAGTTATTCTTTTTCAACACGATGCAAGATGGGTTTCATAGAGTTTTGATCATTGAAGCCACAAGCAAGATTCAAGACTCGTATGTGAGTTTTTGGGGACTACGCCTTTGGTCGGAAAACTGTTAGTGGATCCCCCAGCTATCGATTTCCCGCTGCAAGGACCCTGGTGTCGCAGTACATGACCAATTTGCTGCAGAATCATGGCCGCCGCGCGGAACCCCCATAGCATTGCCTCAAAGGGATGATGTTTTTTTTGCAGGTTGAATCGTTCAAATATATCTGGTTGGTGGTTTGGAACATTGTTTATTTTCCATATATTGGGAATAATAATCCCAACTGACTTTCATATTTTTCAGAGCGGTAGGTATACCACCAACCAGATATTGTTTGCAACCGTGTTTGGGATGATGATCCGCAACGACTATGTTTTGGAGGGTTGAAACCACCGACCAGCATGGTTTACCTTGGGCACCCTTCACTTAGCCCGGCCCAGGATGGGAGTAGCAGGTTTCCGCATCGATGCTGCCAAGCACCAGGATGCAGGCATTCATGGTGCTTTTTTCACATCCATGTTGGTATATGTTGGTTTACATGAGGGTATAAAATTACAATAAATTACAAAATAGTTTGCTTTAAGATGCTTTTAGGACATGTTATGACAAGTAACCAAGAGTTTCCAGTTGCTTTCTGCTTTCACTTCTAAGCTGCGTACAGATTACAGATTACACGTTTTTTGCATGTGGTATAGCGAGCTACCCTTCTTTGGACCTTAAAAGGTGACCTTGATGCTCCATGGTTTGGATCCAGCTGTATTTGTATGATTTGTATTTTTTTAGATGTGGGTATAAATTTGTGACCATGCGTCCACCTACAGATGTATAAAGATTATACCTTATATATACATATAGATATATTATATATACATGTCATACACACACACATATATATATATATAGATGTTTGTATACGTAGAACGTATACGTCGGTTTTAACTGTGATAGTGTGCGAAGATGATCCGTGGTAAGCAGGCGGTGTTGTTCCCACGAATTTCTGCCAAACGGTCAATGGAGGGGTGTGTTATGATGCGCGTTGTCAGGTTGTGGCTCTGGAACTGATGCTATCATGACACACACACACACAACTTGGGGTTTAAACATGGAATTGCATGAAGCAGGATGTACTTTACACAACTTAAAACATCAGATACCAAATATTATCATGTAAAAATAAAAACCACAACAAGAAAGCATCAGAAATGCAACATGTTTCCTCGACTTGTTTTTTCACACACTTCCCAGCCGCCTTGCTTCCCCCATGACCCCAGGTGAGCTGAAGCAGCTCTTAGAAAAGGTCCAGGGTGGCATCCCTTGGCTCTTCGGCGAAGTCATCTACGTCCCTGGGCGGAAGTGCCAAAGGATTTCAAATGATGGGTATGCCATAGGTATGACACATTATGACACATTTATTTATATCGGTATTTGTTGTGTATTTGTATCGATATTTTTGTATGGTGATGAATTCTTATGTATTTTGTGCTGTTTTGTTAATTTATTTCGATGATCAAATCCGCACAAATCCTTATTTTTGCTTAAAAAAAACATGTTTGATGATAACTCATTCCTGGTGGGTAAACCATCATCTTGGGTTGGCTATGTCACCATCTTTGGTCGGTCGCTGCGGGAACCGCCTAGGGCGCCGGCGAAGCAGTGACGCCAGAGATGTATACCGACCTGGGTTTGGCAGCTGGGACGCCGGAACCAATTTTTGGTGGCAATTTCAAGGTTAAACATACTAGGAACTAGCTATCTTTTATGGTTGCAAATGGCACATCATGGGGTGATCATGGAATTTAATGGGGTTAATCTTTGATATAAGTGACTTATAGGTATCTTTATGGTTATTTTTATGGGTGATCATTCCATAAATGGGCGCTAAAAAAAGTGATTTGTAACGGCAGGACCCCAAAATGGAGGCAGTGTTTCATGCAAGGCCAGATTCCTGAGGAGATTCCCTGAAATTTAACCCTTACATAGGCATTATACGTGGTAGGTGGTTCCAATTTAGGTCCAACCCCACTTCAAAATTTGTCTGGATGATTCTTTACGGTTTTATAAGGAGAATAATGTGATTACAATGGGAGATGGGGATCGAAGTAAGAAATCACAGTGATTTAATCAGTCCCAAATGGCTGTATGATAAAAGTAATTTTCAGCTTGCTGACTTGGTGACCTATAGTAATGCAGCCAGATTCAGAACGACCCAGTTGATTAATATGTGGTGTTCCCAAGTTAGTGGATTTCCTCATATGAAATGATATCCCCGGTACGGTCCTATTAGTAACTTGATTTGTTTTTTATTTTTTACGTTTGCAATGTTTGAGGATGGATCAAGGCATTTGTCGGCGGTCACTTGGGGTTCATTTTTTGGATTTATATAGGTCGACAAATACTTAGAACATCTTAGAACATCATTTGGAAAACGCTGCTCCAATATTTAGCAGGGTAAAATCGGTAAAATTTCTAAGTGTGTGGTCAGGAAACAACACTTAGAAGATAGCCCAAAATCTACACTCGCACATCAATTGTGCACATGATGATGTTCTAAGTGTGTGTCCACTATACTAGAAGTAATGGAGAATGCAATTTTGCAATGCCGTCTAAAACGCGGGGTGAGTGTGGGAACGCCTCAAACCAGTTATTCAAGCTGTGATGTAATGTACATAGAACAGAATGTGTGGAACAAACCATGTTTTCAGTGATGACTCCAGTGTCAAAAAAGAATACCAAGATCATTGCCCCTCCAAAATCTCAACTTTGGAAACATTAGTTTGGATGTTTCTCAACGAGCCGAAGAGTTTGGAAAACATTTCAATGTGAGGTGCAAGAGAAAAATGTGCATGAGGGATGTATGTGCAGGTGGGTGTTATTTGAATTTCCAATCAATTCTCCTCAAGCACAGAGACACTTAGAACATCAGATCATCCTTCCCCCGTCAAAATGCATGTTTTATGTGTTGATGTTCCAAGTGGTGGATTTCTTGATTTTTCATGTTCTAAGTGATACACTTTGAACACCTCCATTTGGATTTTTCTGATGTTCTAATTGTGTGCGCCGGTAAAATTGGAACATGTTTGATGTTTTAAGTATTTGTCGGCCTATATACCCAAATCTGGTGATGGATCAAAAGCTATGAGCCACCATCTTTGGCCGGGATGAACATCGGTTTACCAGCCATTTTGGGGTTCGCAAGGGTAGAAACTTGTTCAATATATTCAATTCATGAAATGATGAAATGTATACGATTATATTTATGTATGATTGTATGTATATATATATATATAGGGAAACAAACTGTTTTTTGTTTAAAATCCAGCATGTGTTGTGGTAAAAACATTACGAATCAATGGATCTATGACCGTGTAACTCATGCGGATCTTCGGATCGCACGAGATTTTTCATGGACCCAAGAGGATCGGTTTATATAGATCCCCGAAATCCACCATCAATGGCGAGTAAACCCATACCCAAAGCGTAGGTTTATGCCGGGATTCCCACATTATTCCAGTTAATGGCGTACTGTACCCACAAAAAATCATATTATTGTTGGTTAACGACCCATTGTTAACCATGATTTACCACATCATTATTTTCGGTTGCCCACTTTTTTCAGGTGACCGAATTCCGCTATGCGGGGCAGCTGGCGCCCAACATTTTGGCCGAAGGCAAGTTGCAGATTCTCGGTGGATGCAGCGGTGGCAGCTACTGACCAATAGGGATTTCACCACTGAACTATGGATTTTGGTGCCCCAGGAGAAGATAGCTAAGTCGGTAAACATAGGTGATATATATATATATATATACACTGCATATATGTAATATATTGCATATATGAAATATATTCCATTTATGTAATATATAGCTTGTATATTTCCATGCATCATGGTAGCTAGAACTATACCTTGTTTTGGTTTCGAAACCAACAAAGATCACTGGGGGCCCCAGAGTGGATCTATGGCGTGTCAAGATTTTGCCACTCATAATTTGATCCATACCGTAATACCTCTAGTAATGAGACTATCATGCGATTAGACTGGGATATTCCTCCGGAATTTAAAGGGGGATATCATCTCACAAAATCAAAGGTATGGTTTGATTCCTAGGCTGAAGCAGTCCAATAGTGGAGGGTTTGGGTGCCCGAATCCTTGAACATGTACCTAGAGTCCAGTTACAGTTGGAGTAAAAGGTTCATGTACTAAACTGGGAAGAACCAAGAATTACACCCATGGGACAATGGAAACAACTGATTTTTATGAAGGAACACGTGCTGTAGCTGCGTGAGACCCTGGGGAAGTGCTGCGGGGATAACTGTGACTGGCTTGTAGATGTTACGTTACACAGTGAGAAACACATGTGGGAAACAGACTACCCTCTGGTAATCAAACATGGCAATTGAAAATCCACCATCACTAGATAACTTCCCCATTTATATAAAACCTCATTTTTTTCGCTCAGTGATTATCCATTGCCAGGTTTGATTGCCAGAGGATATGAGCAGATTCTCCATCGGAGTCGCCGAGGTATTTGAAGACCTTCGGCGAATCCTGGGGGTTCCTACCCGGTGGCAGTGCAGTGGTGCGCTCTTCAAGAGTGGGATGTGAAAATGGGGAGACAGCAACTTCGAGCGGCAGCATTTTTTCAATGGGAACATGGTGAATTATTAAGAGTGGGAAATGCCATGTTGATGGAGAAACAAAATCGTCTTGAAATATGGATGTAATCACGTAGTGTTTTTGGATGCTTTTAGATCGCCAGCCTTGGTTGCCAAAGGGCCATCATTTTTACTCAGAAGGTGGAGGACATGTTCAGTCGTGAAACATCCCCTTTGAGACCTGCACACGCTTTCAGAGGGAAGACCCACCAAGCAAGACCTTTGTGGTGAGCAAACATGAGTTGCCCAGATTGCCCAGATCCATGAGTACGGGGTGAGGTTGCAGACACCCGACATGGCTGCTTAAAAGGAAAGGGTCGACTAGTACACGCTTTGTTTCTTAATAGTGGGCAATGCAATCAGGCGTATCATCCTTGTTCTGGTCTGCTTCTCGATGGGCCCGCTGCCCCTTCCGTATGATGATGATCATGATGATGATGGTGGTGATGATGATGATGACGATGATGATGATGATGATGATGATCGTTCGGTCCTCCACAGCTGATGTTTATCATGTGGGGGCTAGACTCTAGCCAGGTGATAAGATCAAAGTCATGGCTTCAGGCCTCGGAGGTCTTGCTTGCTGCTGACTGGTGACCCCTCTTCCCGCAGGTTTTCATGGACAATCATGACACGCAACGCGGTGGTGCTTGTGGTGCTAACCTCACCTACAAAAATGGCGCCCTTTATACCTTAGCGAATGCAGCCCGGCGGTGAATGGCGCGGTGAAGGCGCTCCGAAATTGGGGAAATTGGGCTTCTTCGCCATTGGGGATCCACCGAAGGCAAACTCCAAAAATTTGGGCCTGAACAGTCCTAAAACTGTTTTTTTTTTTTTAATAATAGTCCTGAACAGTACTTTCTGTTTCATAATAGATTGTTTTTTTGCGTGCTCGTAGTAAGATCCATAAATCTTAAGATAACATTAAATTCAACGTAATTTTCAGATCGGATAAATAATTATGTCAAATTATTAGATTTAATATAACTTCATCACGAAAGCTAGCGTCAGCTAGCTGGAGTCTTCTTGCTTTAGCAAGTATTGGGGGGGCTGCTCAAGGACATCATGTGATTTTTCACGCGAAAGGGGGGGACCCCCCCCCACCATCACCACCATCACCACCATCATCATCATCATCGTCATCATCATCGTCATCATCATCGTCATCATCATCGTCATCATCATCGTCATCGTCCTCTCCATCGTCCTCGTCCTCGTCCTCGTCGTCATCATCATCATCGTCGTCCTCGTCATCGTCCTCGTCATCGTCATCGTCATCATCATCATCGTCATCATCATCGTCATCATCATCGTCATCATCATCGTCATCGTCCTCTCCATCTACCTCGTCCTCGTCCTCGTCGTCATCATCATCATCATCGTCGTCGTCGTCCTCGTCATCGTCATCGTCATCATCATCATCATCATCCTCGTCATCATCATCATCATCATCATCATCGTTATTCAATTACATTTTATCATTATTGGCAATTATTGTCATTATCACGAAAGCTAGCGTCAGCTCGCTAGAGTCTTCTTGCTTTAGCACGTATTCCGGGGCTCCCCAAGGACATCACGTGATTTTTCCCGCGAAAGGGCCCCCCCTGCCCCCTCCCCCATATATATATATATCATTGTTATATATCATATGTCAATATATCATTGTTGCATCCTCGTTGGGACGAACAATGCCGCGACACGATGATGACAGTACCTCCGCAACTCACCTCTTCCCTTCCTTCTTTCTCCTACCCCGCTAGCTTTCGTCATCCACCCCCGGCCTCAAGTTGTTAATATCAAAATATTATCACAAACTAAAATAATATTATAATGTATTATATAACACTGTAAGATAACACTAAACATTCCTGTTTATTTTTATTTTCTATATATGTATATAGGTGAAATCAGCATTAACTCATTATTTTTCATTCCATGAAAATTTACCATTAACACCCAGTAAATCCCAGAAATTCCATAACTGGTTGGTGGTTTGGAGCATTTTTTATTTTTCCATATATTGTGAATTATAATCCCAACTGATTTGTTCATATTTTTTTTCAGAGGGGTATATACCACCAAGAAGATTATAGTAAATCACCATTAAATCCCATCAAATCACCATCGAATATGGAGATGTTTAAGGTCCCTCGGCCTGTTTTCACAGCTGCCGAGGTTTTTATGTTGGCTCATCCCTATGGCTATCCCAAGGACCGGAGATGACCGGAGATGACCGGTGGGGTGCTCCAAGGCAAAATCCATTGGAGGTTTTTACCATCAACAGTGGGTTAACAGTGAGTTCATGAAGGTTTCACCATCATTAATCTATATTAGTGAATTAATGGAGGTAAGCCTCTGGTAAACTAACATGAATCCATAAAATAAATTGAGGTTTCCCCAACATGGATTGTTTATTTCATGGAAATTCCGAAAATGAAACGGATGATTTGGGGGTGCCCCATTTTAGGAAACCTCTACATAGCTGTGGAAAGTCACCATTTTGAATGGTAAATCGAGGAGCTGTAACTATAGATGGTCATTTTCAAGAGCTTTGTTAAACTACCAGAAGATAATGGCAAATGAATACCGGGAGCCGGGGAGAAGCAAACATGACTTCCAGGTATTTGTTGGAATCATTTAAACATGTCAAATATAATATATACATATATCATATATTATATTATGATTGTAATATATATATATATCTCTCTCTCAATATATATATATATATATCTCACCAGTACTTGGGTGATGTCACAATGAGGAGATTCACCAGCCCCTCCCCAGCTTTTCGGAGTTCCCGGAGGTCATGAGTTCTTACAACTTCGATGCCCACGACCAAGGGCCCCCAGACGTTCCGGTGCATGGCAGCGGCCGACTCTTGGCAGAACGGTGATACGTGGCCCCGTTCCAGAGATAGGCATGGACAACACCCGAAATGTGAAGAATTGACTATGGTTGTTTGGGGTTCTCGGGGTAGTTGTTCTGAAGTTGCGTAGAGCATCTCAAACAATGCGCAAAAAAAAATCGAAAACAACATGAAACAAAAATCAAAATTGGATAAAATTGGCCCAAATGCATGGATGAGCATCCGCCCCACACGTAATTAGTTCCCTACATTTTGCCGCATTTTCACCAGAAAGGCAACCATTTGGAGAATATGGCATGCATGCAGCACATATGGGGAACTTATGTGCTTTAGGGATGGATAGATATATAGTATCTACACACACATATCTATATCTGATCATATGTGGTGGAATTCAATTTTATTTATTTGTGATCAGCCCAGTTAGGAACATTGCGCTATTGCTAGGTCAGGTTTATTAACCACTGGTTTTGGTGAATCCCAAGTTATCCCATGAATTTATTGTAACATGTCTGAACCTTGCAAACTGATATTTGGATAATTCTTTGAATTGCCAGATGAATTGAATTGTGCCCTGTACTTTAGCCACTATCAGGGGAAGAAAGCGAGTAAGAACATGTAAGAACCTAATTCTTGCGCACTAGCACTAGCAGTGGAAGAAAACCTGAAGCGAGGATTCCCCAGCCATGTTTCTTTTCCGGAGGTTCCATCATTTAGCCAAAGACAAGGATTATGTTGAAAAGTAGCAACGGTAAAAATACTGGCGTGCATCTACAGTACATATGACAACCAATCATCACCATCACCATCACCATCATCATCATCATCATCATAATCATCATCATCATCATAATCATCACCATCATCACCAAGATAATCGAAACGTCATCATCATCATCATCATCATGATCATCATGATCATCATCATCATCAGCATCATCATCATCATCATAATCATCACCATCATCACCATGATAATCGAATCGTCATCATCATCATCATTATCATCATCATCATCATCATCATCTGCAGCACCATCATCATCATCTCATCATCATCAACATCATCATCATCATCATCATCATCTGCAGCACCATCATCATCATCATCAACATCATCACCATCATCATCATCATCATCTGCAGCACCATCATCATCATCATCAACATCATCACCATCATCATCATCATCATCTGCAGCACCATCATCATCATCAACATCATCACCATCATCATCATCATCAGCATCATCATTGTCATCATCATCATCATCATCATCAACATCATCAGCATCATCACCATCATCATCATCATCATCTCATCCACATGTTCCTTCATTATCCTTAAGTTGGGGCCTTTCTTAGGGGCCTCCTGAACACCTGGGTCGGCTCAGTTGCTTGCTTTCATGGATCCTGGGTCTGTGAGCATCGCTATCCGGAGATTGCCAATATGGTGGCCTGGAGGTTCGCCCCGGGGGGGGGGGCTTAATTGGTAGTTTGCAAGTCTACAAAGTGGTGCACCAGTTGGTTAGCTAGTTTTATAATTCATTTAGCTAGGCTTTATGGTAGAGTATCCATGGCCAATAGGGGTTTTAAGTCAACAACTAATTCAGGGGCACTACCTTGTAGGAATTGTGTGGCCATATTTCTGGCCACCAGTTCTGAATATCAAGAATTTTTAGGTCTTGGCTTCGTGAATCAGTTTTTAGCAGTGTGCATTTACCTGCGGATAATTTGTTGGCAGTTTTTGTTCAGCAGAAAACGTGCTTTGCTCGTATGGCGTGTATATATATGTGTGTGTGTGTCCAAGATCAACCATGATCTGATGGGTCTGAATCCCTTTATTTATTTTAATGCATGGTACGCAGAGCTTCCAATAGAGAATCCAACATTATACGGGGACTCAATGATTTAGCCATCAGCACTGGGGGAGTTGTCCAGTGAGCGCCTGCCCAAAGGAGGGAAACTGGGGGCCTTTGTGCAATGCAAAGCGGGTTAAATAAACGGTTGGCCATTGGCCCATTTGCAAGATTCTCAGCAAGATCAGCAAATGGTGGCTACAGCTCGATTCATGTCCCCATGGTTCATGTGCCGCTTGTATAATAAATCTTAGTTTCCCCATACTGCAACAGCCTTTTTTCCCACAACATGTGGCAGATGACCGGCATTTTTTCTTCGGGAGAAGCGGCCTTTATTCAAGTGTCGGAGTCGCCCATGACTTGAGCCACCCAAATTTTGCCGCAGTGGTTGGAGTAAAATCTCCAGGACACCGTGCTTTTCTACCACGAAACCTTAGGGCTTTTGGGGGTTCCTGTCGGGTTTCCTTTTATTTATTCAATTGTTTCATTATCTACAGAATCTACAGTATGTCATTTGTTCAGTTTGTTTTCCTGCAGAGTGGAAACCCCAGGCATTTCTGACACCCTTGCCCCCCGCCAGAAAGCAAGTATCTCCTGGTAGGTTTGGACAATTGGATGTGCATCCCAGGTTGTAAGTGGTTCAGAACCCTTGGATAGTATGACCGGTTGGCAATAGTATGTTTGATTAAAATCCAGAAAACATAAATATCTTATGACTTATAACCCATATACATCCATATATATATATATATCATTTATCTATGACTTAAGTATATCCAACCGACATAAAACTGGTGATGTTCAGTGATGTTCCATATAAACCTTGGCTTCACGGAGGCAAGCCGCTGGCACGGGAGCTCCGGAAGTCTTTCAGTCCTCGGAGGATGGGACCTTCGGAAACAAATGGACGGGTTCGGATCATGTTTGTTCTTCGGTAAACTAACATAGACTGCTTGGTGGTTTGGTGATTATATGGTAATGATATGGGAATTAACTGCTTGGTGCTTTGGAATATGAATTTCATTTTTCCATATAACGGGAATTTCAGAATCCCAACTGACGAACTCATATTTTTCAGAGGGGTAGGTATACCACCAACCAGTAGATGTGGAAAAATGTGGAAAACCCATTGGCAAAAATCCTTAGGAAAATCGTTTTGAAATGGTCGAATTTCCGCATATTTTTGGTATGTTTACCCTCGGGTACCTTCTGATAAAGTAACAGTTAGCTATGGAAAATCACCATGTTTAGTAGGGAATGTCATCGAACTAAACGGTCAATTTCCTATAGTTGTTAGTTTACCAGAGGGCAATGTGATTCGATATGAATTTTGATTAATGCCTCTTTAGTATGAGTTTTTTCTTCCTTTGTGGTGTTGAAGTGTTGAAGCTTATTAGGTGCCCGCACGTCTCGGAAAGATCCAGCCAGTGGGTCACAACGATCATCATGAGACGATCACCAAAAAATAAGGCGTTTCGATGCATATACGACCCTACTCGCAGTTCCTTTCAAGGCGAAACATACAATGTGGGCTCCAGTTAGGCTTTAGATTTATAGCCATTATATACAAACTATATACGATTATAAAGTATCATGGTAACCTGATAACCATAGTCATTGCATCACTAAGTATCAAACACATTCAACAACTCATAAACCACAAAAAGGTGTGTGGTCGTTTCACGTCGTTTCACGTCGTCGTTTCACGTCGTCGTTGACCAAGGAATGGCGCCTTCTTCTGCCGTAGCTCTTCCGCCTGTGTGGCGTTGAATCGCCCCTTGGCCGTTAACCGGGGCCGTTTCGGTTTCGGGCAGTCCCGAGGCCTGGCCGAAGATCATCTATGACCCCATTATAGTCCCAATATATTTATCCCACGATAATCCATATTTATATGATTATGGTCCCATATATTATGGATAATCTAGATGGGATTATATGGATCATCCATATTTATCCCATGATAATCCCATAGTCCTAGTGTTTCATATACTTCCCACTGGTTTGTTATTTATGATAATAATTGATAATATTTCATTAATTATTCGCAGTTTTTCATAGTTACTAGGAATAACAACTGGTGCTGGATTGATGGGCAAAATCCAATTTGAATCCCATTATAGTCCCGGTGTTTCATGTAGTTACCAATAGGAATCCCATGGTGCAGGATGGCTTGTCTATCCACATTATGAAGGTTTTGAACACATGATCGAAACCATATTTAGCATTGAATATATGAGGGAAATAAGATGAAAAGAGCGTAAGTAGCAAGGGGATGTTAACAGGATAAATGGATGTAGATGGGAGTTTGCTAGCCAACAAAGTGGACATTACCAGCAATGGTCAGCCATAGAAACGGGAGGATGATCCCATTTGACTTTCATGTTTTTCAGGGGGGTGAAACATGGTGAAACCATCAGTCAGGTCATATGAATGTGCGGATCATGACCCTAGGAATTGCCCGGATTTGTTTGCAACTGCAATCCATGCCATTTCTGGGGAAGATTGCAGGTAGCCAGGTAGACAAGGATTGAGACTGGCCCAACAAATGCCTTTGGGATCCTTGGGACCATCATGGAGCATCCAGACATAGCTAGTATGGTGTTTTCAAAGCAAGTTGCCTGGCTTTTGATTCATATTGAATTGGGGCATCCCTTTCTGCTGCTTTGACATGATGATCCCAGATCATGTTTGATCTTGGCAGGTTGGAAGCACCAACTGTCGGATCTTTGATGGACTGTATCCGTGATGATTTCATGTACATGGCTGATTCGGAGCATTTGGCTATAGCTCAAGATAGTCGGGTAGTTTATATAATATATACATATATATATATATTATATACGACTATTACGTCAATTATTGTGTGTCATCATTGGCTCATAATAGTATGTCTGTTACATGTATCCTCAGCACTGGAACCTTAAACGATCAACCAGCCCTCTGGAGTCGAGGTGGCAGTGGCAACTGGTCGGTTAAAGTGAAAACCACCCTTCCTGCAGGTTGGGGAAAACAGGGTGGGCCGAGACCGGCCGAGTAATTCTCGGATTTCTCGGAAAAGATCAACGGAACAGATTTAGACTTAAAGGGATAAAGCCCCCTATTCCTATAGAAACGGCATGATGATAGTGTGGTGACAATCATATGTCTATCTATCAATCTATCTATCTATCTATCTATCGATCGATCTACCTATCGATCGATCGATCTACCTATATATCTATCTATCCATCCATCCATCTATCCATCCATCCATCTATCTATCTATCTATCTACCTATCTATCTATCTATCTATCTATCTATCTATCTATCTCTCTCTCTCTCTATCATGCTCTATCTCTCTATCATTCTATCACTCTCTATATCTCGATTTGTGTATTTGTCACCGGTTTTTGGATTTAGGATCACCTTCCGCTTATGCCCCTTGTGCCAGGGCAATACTATGACGTGCTGCGGGACATCAACGTTTCGTCATGTCCATTCGTCCGGGTTGCGGTCGATGGTTGCTTGGCAGCGGGACGGGTCCGGCTGCCATCTTGAACCTATTATTTGGGGATGGTTCATAGATTTCTGACACCGACTTAATGTGATTTTGGGGGATGCTTCGTTCTTGGGTCTACTAATGTCTCCCACATTCAACAGAAAATCCATGATCATGAAAGATTGAACGTCTAGATTTGGGCGTTGAGTCATGGGCAATTTCACATGGTTTAACCATTGGGGCACCTATCCGATTGAAGGTATAAAGCTTGGAATTCCGCAGGCCCCACAAAAAGATAGAAATATCGTTCTTCGAATTGCAAACCACCACCTGTTCACGATTGGCCCACTGGGTTCCTGCGGAGGTTCTATGCGATTATGTCCCAAAATTGGGTTGCTTATCCTCATGTTCAGTCATTTTACCACTGTAGATCGGCTCAGCTGGGCCATGGGGTTGGTTTCCATGTCCCGTTCTCGGGATTTTGACCATCACATTGGTTTTTAGGGAGATGATAACGTCCCCAATAGTCGGTTGAAGTGAAAAACTAGGACATTTACCAACCTGGTTGGTGGTTTGGAGCATTTTTTATGTCCCCCAATAGTTGGGACGATGATCCAATCTGACTGATATTTTGCAGGTGGGTTGAAACATGTTGAAACCACCAATGAGCAACCTTTGTTGATTTTTGTGAAATATAGCCACTTGATTCATAACAGAGGGGTTGGTAGACGTCCCACAAAGCGGGGGCCCCTGAAACGAAATCGCAAAGTTGGTGAACATGAGTCCATAACGATTGGGTTTAGCCGTTTATACAAGGGTGTTTAAGGCATTTACTATATTTAACATTATAAGATGTGTAAACCAACTATATTCAATAGGCAGTTTGTTACAAACTATAGTTAATGTAATAAAGGTCTATAAACATCACTTGGGGGGACATTAAATCCCCTTAAATCCCATTAGTCCTACCGTTCACAAACTTAATAACCCAACGCTCACAACACGTGTTTTCACATAGCCCGTGCGCCATGGTCGCCATAGCTCAGGCACCGCAGAACTGTTGGTGCCGTCGACCAGCCACTTGGCAGGTATGTTGTTTATTGCTCATTAGAGAAAATTAGAGACAGTTGGATAATAATGATAGGTACATATATTATATATATGTATGTATTTATATATATATATATATTTAACAATGACAATGTGTAACAACTATAGGGTACCCCGGCTAAAACAAACTGGGGGATCAAAGGTGCCGTTTTCACACAAACTGCGAATCGTGGTCATTGCTGAGGTGCCGTAGCTTTTCACGTCAACGCGCGTTCGACCCCGAGAGCACGGCTGCTTGACGACCGGGATCAAAGGAGTGAAAAGGGAGAGCTTCCGGGCTTCGTTGAACGTCGGGGGTAACCACAACCCGGGGTTAGTAGATGTTGCGGTTATTGGTGGTGTCCCAGATAATAGTGATCAATGATTCTTCCAGATTTTCCCCCAAAAGGCTCATTGATCCAAAGCACGCACGCAGCTAACATTAATCATTGTACAGCAGACCCCAAACTTCGAATTTTGATAGAATAATGTTCAACCATTCGGTTTGGATTGAGGATGCCATTGAACACATTATTTTCAAGCAACAGCACATGCGCCAGCAGCATGAATCCTAGCCGTATTTAGCTGCTAGGTGCTGAGTTTCTTGTTTCCTGTGAAAAGATGAAATCAATATAGTCCGGAGTCCAGATGGTTTAATTTTCATGGAGCAGATCAAGTAATTATGTTTTCAACTCGAAAGCAACAAGGATCACAGCACTGGTGGATTGCCCCTTTCGCGGGTCAAGCCCGTGGTTTTGGCATCCAAGCAAATCTTGGTTGTTCAAAATTGTGGTAATTACCCTCGGCTGGGTCCACAAAGTTTGAACATCGACTTGGCAATCGTCCCGCTCCCCGCCCAGGCACACTGGACTTCATGGCACGCTTCATGCTCTACAGATCATTGGAATTAGATGCTTGCCTGAAGACCTTAGATGATCTATAACAAGAACTCAGATGTCGATTTGTGCATCTTGTGAAAGTTACATACCTGGGCCATTGAGGGCCACAGGAGACGGGGGGGACGATACCGAGATTTGTGAGAACTGTAGGTCGCTGATCTAGAAGCGCCAAGAATGGCCCCCATCCAATGATAGATTTGGGAACCAGTGACCCCCTAACAAAATGATGGCTTTGCGGGGTATAACATAAGGCCGTCCAAATCCCTTAAAAAGTTGAAGCTAACTGCTGTCAGTTTTGGGTGGACCCTAGGGTACAAAATGCACAAGGGACCAGTCCCCGGGCTCCCTGTCATGCCTCTCCAGGCTAGACCCCAACCAATGTGCTGATGATGCGGCTAGCAAATGACAAAGGTAAGTTTGACCAAAGCAAAAGCATTCCTGGCCAGTGGCCACATTGAAATGCCAACAACAACATTTGTTTCTTGTTTTTGTTTGCACTTGTGACCTGTGTTGGCGATGCCACAAACTTTCAAAAGTCCAATCCATACCCCTTCTCCGGCTCATTTTTTCCATATGGATTGCTCTTGCTGTTGCTACTTTGTAGCACGACGCAGCCACTGAAGTGTTGGTTTTGCCTGGGCGAAAATCATAAGATCAGTGACTCAATGACTCATTTGACCACCCACATGTTCAAGCTCATGAAGATCTGATAGGCTATAGAGCACAGATTCAAATCAATCTTCTGTGTGTGTGCGAGTTGTATGATGTAAAACACTGCAGGTAGGCATTTCAGTTCACTAACATCGGCACCTTTTTTTCCCGGCATCGATCTAGTGATGGCAATGGCGTGCGCATGGAAACCGACTGCTTCAAACAGCTGCGCAGACCATCGTTGCCCAGCGCTTAGGCGCATATGAAAACGAGCAACCCAACGCAATCGTTTCCGGGGGGGCAACACACGAGAGAGAAGTCTAAGAGTTAGAGTCTGACACAGACAGACACGGGATTAGTTCTGAGTCAGCAAGAGTAATGTGAGCCATTTTTCAGCCACATATGTTCAGCCACAAAGGGAAAACCCACAACCTTTGCAGATGGGCAAGGTGCTAAGTAGTGCAACCTTACTCAGCTCCATCGATGAAGGATGTAGTTGACAAAACCAAATGCCAAAATGGCAAAACGGGAACTGTCGGAACTGTGCAAAGTGGCATCTTGCCAACATATGAGCATCTACCTGTCCTTTCCCTCACATCACATCATGCGACCAGAAGTCTTGACTCGACATCATGGGTCATGGGTTCCGCAAAACATATCTTACAGTACAGTGAAGACTTTTTTGATATCGATCAGAAAAAACATAAACAATACATAAACACCTACTAACAAATCACATATGATTGACTTAATGGTAACATGATGCGTCAAATCACTTCAGTAAATGGCCTGCTTCCCGCGGGGTTCGCAAGGCCATTGGGGTAGCTTCAATGACCATCTGATTGCATGTCATCTTGTTGATGACACAAGCCACAGCACCCACGGCAGGTGCGTGATCGTTGTCATCCCCAGCCTGGTCATCAGTGACCCGATTATTTGAAGCATCCATGAGGACATCTTCGGCCTTGCGCTTGTTGTTGCGAACTTTGAACTTTTCACCAGGCCTCACAAGCCGGGTCTTGGATGAGCTGATTTGACATGAGTCAGAGCTTAAGTTAAATTAGCTTGAGTCTGGGTCAATATGAATCATGTTATGGTTGCTCATCAAACATGTTTTTATGATTACGCTGAACATATCATCTGTCCTTCTTGTTTACCTGTTTGATTTGTATCTTGGCACGTACCTGAAAAACTTGATAGAACATGAACTTGAACATGACTCAACACAACTAATCTTTGCCTGCAACTTGTGATTTGTAAATCAAGTCCAACCATGTTCAAATTCAAGACTAGTTACTACCAGTATGATTCGATGTCAGTCTAGCAATGCGAACGAGTGACAGCAACCCTCTTTTGATGACCGCATACTTGACGCCGTCGACGATGCGCACAGGAGCAACATTGTTGGTGGCAGACAGGGTCCCGATCTGCAACTCGAGATTCTTGCCTTCAAATGTCTGTTCGGCTTTGTTGATTGTCCATTCGAGTGATGGTTTGACTTCCTCATCGGGAACCGATGGCACCATCCAAGCAAAACAGGGGCACATAGAGTTCATGTTTCCCAAGCCATCTCCATCCACAACCAAGTCGAATCCGCCTCACAGTGGATGGGTTGGATTCAAGATGAGATGAGCGTAGACAGTTGTTGCAATGCACGCGGTGCTGCTACATACATACGATCAACAATCTATGTCAGTGGTTCGCTATGTTGTTGTGTCACGTCACGGTGTCAAGAACTGTTTTCCTGACATCAACGGCTGAGGAAATGTTTAGTCTACTTTTACACATACAGCACATACAGTCAAATCAAGTATGATACAGCATTGCAGCATCATAGCCACATCAACATCGCACATTGCTTTGATTTGTATGGATTCCTCTGCGATAGAGATATGAGAAACAAAAAACAAATCTACGCGGAGGATGGAGGGCTGAAGGTCTGTAGGTAGATTTGCTGCCAACAAGACACCAAAAGCTTTTCGTTCAGCTCGAGCTCCAAGAGGAACATAGGTGATTGGCTTTGATGGTCCAGGTGGTACAGGTGATCTCTTTCCAAAAGAGCGAGTTGCAACCATCTCGCCTCAGAAGGTGATTGTTCACAGTGCTCAGTGCTCAGTGCTCACTCACTGTTCACACAAAAAAAATAATATTCATAATTGATCGCCGCAAAAATATATCTTGCAGTTGTTGTTGTTGTTGCTGTTGTTGTTGTTGCTGCTGTTGCTGTTGTTGTTGTTGTTGTTGTTGTTGGTGTTGGTGTTGTTGTTGCTGTTGTTGTTGCTGTTGCTGTTGCTGCTGCTGCTGTTGTTGTTGTGGTGCTACTTCAGGGATCAGGGAAATATATTGATGTAGAATGATAAAGAAAAGAATGGCCTAGATAGAATACACAATACACAAGCACAGTCGACAGTCAAGCCAAGGTTAGACCAAACAGCTCAGATAAATTGCGCCAAGCGACTCACATTGCCAAAGAAAACCAATTGGAAATCTTTGGGCAACTTGCAGAGGAGAAGATTCTCATCCTGTGCTGATCTGAGTAACTCAATGGTGTCGTCGAGCTTGAACAAGACAGTGGACTTCGATCCTGTCACATTGTGACCGCGTCGTTTCGGACCTTCCTTCTCCTGCTCCACGAGCACGCACATCAGGTCCCTATACTTGGATTCAATCTTGTTGGCATAGGAAACCAGCTCGGCATGGAGGAACAATTGCAATCTCACAAGTTGATCTGCAGGTGGAACGGTTTCAGTGCTCCCGAATTTCATCAACTCAGTCCAAGTGAAGATGGCACTGGTGTTGTCTTGATCATCGGCTTTCTCGTCATCTGCGCTGGTGACAACCACAGAAGATGCAGCAAGCCCAAGTGCAAGAGCAACTGGCGTCACAGAACTCACCTTGGCTTCCTGAAGAACTTGTTTGATGTCGAACCTCCCATTGGCCAAGAGATCTGTGAGTGCTGCACACCAACAGCTGTTCATAGACTCGCATGACAGCAAGCAGGAATCCATGTCGCTGAGAAATTTCACATTGTGAGGACGTTCCAATGCCTTGAACATAGGTTTCAGGTTCTGACTGGTTCGGCTGGCAAGTGTGACCGCCAATTGGATGACGTAGGCTGCTCTGACACTGACCAAAATTCCGGCATCGGAGGCTTTCAAGTTCAGGTGTTTCCAGGCATCATCCACAGGAACAGCCCAGCCTGACATGGTATGATCCGAACTCACATGTATTCTTTTGCATATTGAACACATGTTTGGTGCTGCTGATGATGATGATGATGGTGGTGATGCTGGCGATGGTGATGATGATGATGATGATGGTGTATGTGGTGGTGATGGTGTTGGTGTCAGTGTTGTTGGTGGTGTTGGGCGGTAATGATGGCGATGATGAATGATGATGGTGATGATGATGATGACGATGATGTTCTGACGATGACGACGCTGATGAGATGACCCATGTTTTGGCGATTGGTAGTTGGTGGTTTGATGGTGAACTTGCAAATCATTTTGGTGATGTGATGATGATGATGGTAATGATGGTGATGATGATGATGATGATGGTGACTTGATGACTTGATGATGCTGATGATGGTGTAATGTTGTTGGTGGTGCTGATGGTGATGGTAATGTTGATGGTGGTTCATTGATTCTTTGGTTAATGGTTCGTGATTCCATGATGATGATTCATGAAATTCATGATGCCTATTCATGGCGATTCATGATGTTTCATCTAATGATGACGCTGCTGCTGATGATGGTGATGATGATGATGATGATTGATAGTGAGGGTGATGATGTTGATGTGATGTGATGTTGGACAATGTTTAAAAACAAAAGTCAGCCGGACAAGCCGGGAAAAAAACTAGAACAAGCAGCGACGACAACTACTAACTACAACTATAACTACGACTACAAAAATAAACAGTAAATGTCTTACACCACCAGCCACAGCCCCACCTCTCACAGTCTCATCGAGAAACACGTTGGCAAAGGACATGAACTGATCATTGAAAACCTCATGGGTCACTTTGACAATCTCCCAAACCAGGTCAGTCAATGCAATTTGATCACCATGCAAGCAACAATTCGCGTTGGTTGTGCCTTCGGTGTCATTGCAAGTGCACTGCACCCTCACTTGAGCATGTAGTTTGCCAAATGTCGTATGCCGAAGGACACTGAACTCCCCATCGGGCCCAGCAAAATCCATTGCACGAAGTGGATGTGCTGGTTCAGACATAATCCACGTCTCCAGAGGTTTCCACCATGACTTCATTTTCTCAACACCGTTCTTGGACTGATCGGCAAACAAGTTGTTCCAATTTGAAGTCACTGCAGCCTCCAGTTCTTGCAAGCCTGCAGAGCAACCGTTCGAAGCATCTGCGCTCATTGCGGCATTGATGCTCCCACGCACGTTCTGTCAGGGTTCATGCTTTGCGGCTTCACTTGTTTGCTTGTCATGAATCATCAGTAATAAGTCATTGAGAGTCATCAGCCATCGGCCATCGGCCATATACCATGAAAAAAAAGCCATTGCACTTGCTTATTGCTAAGAAGAAACGTTGAAATTGAAGACAAACTTACCTTCAACAGATAATCATGATGTTTCCTGAAAACATTTGTCCTGTGATGTTGTGATGTTACCTTGCCTAAAGAACGTTAACAAATACAAGCACCCATGAGCAATGAGTATTGTTGTTGAGTTGATGAGTTGATATGTTGATGATAAGAAAAATCAGCTTGCCCTTTGTGGTGTCCATCTGGCCTGCATGATTTTGTGCAGCGCATACTGCTTCAAAGCTGGGCGAAGTCGGCTCCATCGTCGGTGCTGCGTGGTTTTAGAACCATCATGTAGGACAATCTCTCCGTGGAAGGCAAAGCATAGACCAATGCGAATCAAATCGGACTTGATCACTGTGAAGTCAACTTCATGCTGCAGCCCCATGGCCTTCACAGACGACACAACATGGGCCACACAAGCCAGCAAATCGTCAACCCACAGCTTGGGTCGCACCCCGATGTTGCAATGAACCACAGTGTCACCAACATGTTCTTCGGCTGGAACATTGCTAAGACTGAGCACTGGTGCTTCTCGTGCAGGTTGGGGGGCTGTTCTCCTCTTTGCCGCAGGTTTCGCTTTGGCTTTCCTCTTGGGCTCAGCATTCTCCTTGCCGGCACCCCGTCCACCACGGCTGGATCCTTTCCCTTTTTTGGGCTCCACAACGCCATCAGCACCGGCTTTGGTAACAACAGACCCGGACATCTGTGTGAAGAGTCGGGTCACAAGGGGTTTTTTCGACAAGGTGTCGAACACCCAATATTTGTCACCGGTTTCGTCCAGCAATGGTACCTGTCAAGAGTCAAGGTGTGTAAGAGAGCGTTAGAGACCAGAAATGACAAATGATACTCATCCAAACTCATCCAACAACAATGTGGCTTTGGTAATCAAATACACATAGTCTCAAAGTATACATGCAACATCAAATGCCCCATGGTACAGCATGAATACAGCAAGTGAGGATGCACAGTGAAGATTCAAATGTGCAGTGGTAGTGGTGCAGTGGTGCAGCCATGTCACACAAAGTTTGGCAGACTCCATCAGAAGCAGTTTCATGTCGTCGGCTGCAACTCCATCATAGAGCGTGCATGAAATGGAATTTGACACGTGCTGGATGCACTGCAAAGCTGTCGATCGGTTCAACCTGGGATGGAGGTAGTCACAGCATGCACCCATCACTGCAATCAGCCCATCGTCGCCTTGAAAGAGATCCCACTTTTTGTGCCAAAAGTTGTATGTTGCCCGACATGTCTCGAACAACTTCCACTCGCCAAAGACCTCTCCGAAATCAACATGGTTGCGCAGAAATTCAGAACCTGCAGTGACACATCCAAGCGAAGACTAGACTCATGTGACAGTCACAGTGACATGGGACTAGATTGTGTTAAGACTTGAAGAGATCCCACACAGTGTGCAGAGCACATTGACACACATCACATCGTGCAAGTCATACAAGTTATACCAGCTGTCAGAGTCTGAATCTGAAATGTTTGATTGTTCTGGTCCTCAAGTTTATTCTGTGTCTCAATCGAATCAGGACTGGCAACATTTGGATTCGTAGTTCGAGCTGTTCCAGCTGATGTTGCCATCTTTCTTGAACTTGTGCAACTCGGTTTCAACCTGAGAAATTGGGCTGGTATGGCAGCTTGCATGGATGTATAATGTATGTCAGAATTCCATATGATATTTTTACATATATATAAATATATATGTTTCCAAATTCTTAATGTATTAATGCATTTTTTGTTTGAAATTATATAGCTATTAAACTTATCATTTTGTTCGGTTATCCAGTGGTTCATTTGATAAGCATGGAAAAGGTTAGCTCTGTGCTGGCTATCAACAACAAAGACCCCAGGCATGGGACTGGGACTGACTGATATAATGTATCATATGATACAAGAAACATCTGGAACGATGGTCAAGAGCTCCACGAATGATGTTGATGACCCCATATGGAATCTGTTGTGGAGATTAACTAAGTAGCGGCAAACCGAAGGTGGAGTTCGCGGATGTATGATCCGACACTCGAGACCACGGGCGAGGGTCAAAAGCAAATTCTTGTTCTGTGGTTCCTGCTGCAATGCGCAGTAGAACGCCTCTGTCAATGATGCAAAAGAAAGCGCAAGATAAGATGCGACTTTGCCATCTGAGGTGGCGGTGATGACTTCAGATGGTCTTTGCTGTAACCAGGCTTCTCCCCGGACATTTTCGACGATCCCTCGCAGCTTGACGCTCTTGACATACTCAGCCCGAACACCATCCTGCTGACGGCTGTTGTAAGGGCTCCTTTGGATGTTTGGCACACGCCGCGAAAAGGGTTGATGAGAATCCTCCAAGTCATTCGAATCAGCAAAGAATCGCACTCGGACTTTTTCCCCTACCTGAGGAGCAATTAGTCATCAAATTGAAAACTTGAACACTCACCAGCCAAAACTCCCAGTGACACACTCTAAGGCTGGATGTCCCAATAGCTCCGAGAAGTAATGTTGTTCCAGCGTTTCGGTTTTGTATCTGTGCATGTAACAATACATGTTTTCTTGTGGGCTTTGTCAGGCAGTCACTGTCAAAGGGATAGAGATCTCCAGTCCATGCAACTGTGACATGATCAGCTGGGACTGAAACATTCTGACGCACATTTATGTAATCCAATCATCATCAGTCATCATCATTATCATCATCATCACCACCATCACCATCATCATCACCATCATCATTACCAACAATCTTGACATTGTTGGAATAACGTTGACATGAGACATGAGATCACAGTCACCCTAACTTTTGAAGCAAACATTGTTGGGACAAGTTGCCTGATAGGTGTTCCACACCGCTTCAAGCAACATTCGGCCTTTCAACTCCTCACCGAAGATATCCGCAATAGATGCATCATCATTGTATATGTCGGTGCCCTTCTTGTGCGACAGGTTCAACGTGGCGGCCATGATCGCCACTGCAAGAACCAAGGCCAACTCCGATGATGAGAGGAGCAAGGGCAAGGGGCACAGGACTCAGGACTAGGTAGAGCGAGAAAAAAGAAGTCAAACAAACAGTTGTCAAGCACAACCTCGCAACTGTCAGAATGATGATAGGATAGACTGATACTGATAGACTGATAGACTTGAACTTGCTTGGAAGTTTTTTTTTCAAAATTATGAGTCAGTTCAAAATGGCTAAATTTGAAGAATGGTAGCTCATCTTCATGTCATTGTTCTCGTTCCCGATGCTTGATTTTGAAGCCGATACAATACCGTTCACATATGCCAATGCTACTGACGTCAGCACAGAAGTAACGGAAGGAAAACGAAAACGACTACGACTGACAGAGATTGAAAGATGTTGAGCTGTATGGGTGTATGATATATGTGTGTGTGCGCCGTGTCGATTCAATGATTGATCTGCAAAATACGCACACCTAATCACTGACAGCCTGGAAAAGAAATCAGTGTCAACATCAGTGTCAGACGCCAGAAACAAACAAACCTTCCAGGTAAATTATCACAGATGATTCATGATTCGGAAAGAGGCAACTCACTTTGGCCCAATAGCATAGCCAACTGTCCATTGTCAGCATTCCCTGCCATAACCACAACCACTCTGTGGTGGGGCTGGCAGTGTTACGATGTTTGATCAGGGCATGAGTCATGAGTCCAGTGTATGACGTGCCGCTAGACATGCAAAATGCAAAACCCATCAAGACAAAATGTTGCTTTAGTCAAACCAAAGGAATCATTAGTATGAAGAATCATAATGCAATTTCCAGGCCAAGCATATAGTCCAAACTTCAAGACACTCACAGACTCACACTGTCCAAAAGCTCCAAATGTCACTGTGTCGCTGCTTTGCAGTGACTGGCAGTAACTGAACATGGAAACTTCTCTCTCTAGTCCTGTGTGTGTGTGTCATGCCAGCACAACACATTACTCATCACTCATAGCTGACGGTGGCTGCGGGTTCGGCTCAGAGTCATGGTGGGGGACCTAATATTGATACCAACAAAACGATTCACAAACATAGTATTTAAATTAAATTATTTTGAATTCATATAACGACCTTACATAGCATTGTAACCATTGTACCACCTTCCTTCCATAGATTCCAGAATTTTGGACTTGGTGTGACACGACACATTGATGTTTGGGTCCATTGGTTTCCCCACACTCTGGTAGCCTGACCGGCAACAAGAAGTTGATTGGTCTGTAGTTGATTCGTTTCAACCAAACTGAGAAACTGGTCGCAATAGTCAGATGATCCAAATGATCAAATTAATGGTCACTGAAACTGAAACTACACACGACGTTGCTTTGACGGACGTGACTGTGTGTCACTGTCGGGTTCCTCATCCTCATGTAAGTCGACATCATGGTGCGCAGCAGCAACCCCAAGTCGCATCTGCTGCGACAATCGAAAATCTTGTGCTGCAAGCAGATCAGAGCTCATGATCACCTGCGTGAGCGCGAACAAGAGGGTCACTCCTGATATACTCGTGTGCATCGAGTCCCCCGCATGCTCGCAGAGCGCATGCCGCGTTGGCCATGGGTCAAATGAAGAACCTCGGCGTTCCAACAATGACCTCAATGCATAAGAGCTGCATGCCCATCCGTGGGTTTGTTTCGTATCGACAGGGAAGCCTTGTACCGTCAGCATTTCCTTGCCAGTCAACCATCGCATGTGAACCCCACTCATCAAGATCGATGCAGACTTGGTGAGCGTATGCAACGCCTGATGTGTTGGTGTCCGTGGTTCAGTTCAGTTCAAACTATTGAACTGTTGAAATATTGCTTCTCTGTAGAACTGCATAACCATATCATATTCAAACAACAAAGGGAAATAGTTGTTCAAATACAACCAGCCAACAAATACAGCTGTTCTGAAACCTGTGTTAGTGACTATGTGCTAGTTCGATTGATATCAAATAACGAACATACAGTGATAGTGACAGTGACAGCCACCCAACATTGCACTTCAATTATACACAGGCCTGTCCCCTCGCATAGGTAGCACGCGCTGTGGGATCTTGATTCATGGAATACACACTGTCAGGCTTCTTGGCTACATACTCCTCAAATGCCCGAAGTTCCCATTCAGTGAAGCAATCCTGAAATGCTGTCTTGCTGGTGAGAGGAGGATATTCGAGCTTCTGGTCGGATTCATCGTCATTGCCACCCTGCTGGCGTTTCCATAAGCTACCTGGACGTGATGCAGCCCAGATCAATTCTGCTGTCAGCTGGTCTTCATCGGTCCTTAGTTGAATTCAATCAGTTAAGGATTCAATGATTCAATGATTCAATGATCCAATCGAACACATGCGGGATCAAACCAAGCAAGGGACAGTGATCCAATATGGTCATGGTCGCAACATGTGACATCAGTGACATCAATTGACATCAAAGTGACTATCGATGTTCTGTCTATTGTCTGTCTATGTGAGCCTATGAGCTTGTGTCTCTGTTGCACAGCTGCACAATATAACGAGTATGATTTTGAACAGCGTGGTTTGGTGTGGAGTCGTGGAATCGTAGAGAACCCTGAGAACCCTCCGGCTCTGCGAGAATCCGAAAATGCCATATCTTGACTGCATGGGATTGTCATAACATTGATGGCTATCAATGTTACACTTCAAATGAAGTAGAGCATTGCTTGCTGATTGATAGCCTTTTTTTAAATGATAATGTATGATATGGTTTGATATTGTTCAAACAAATTCAACCATGTTTCTCCCAAAAGTACGGTTGCCAATCCGCTGGGCATGAACGGTAGAACTTGTTGACAAAGTTGTCCAACACGGATCGCAAGCCCATCGTCTTGTGCTTGTGCCGGCCACTCAGGGACAAGCGATTGATGCTGGGCAAAGCAGCAACTTGGAAGATGATTTGGTATTAAATATTGACAACATTGGGCACATGGCATTAGCACACGACTCACGACTACAATCAGCCGTTTCTCTATAACAATCATTAACCATACCCAGTGCCTCAACGAAATTCAGCTTGCAATGAGGAACTGTTAATGTTCATCATGATCGTCATGGCTGTCATGATGGTCAAATGACGCTGAAAAGGAATTGTTGATTTCCCAACAAGTTCAAGAACGACCACAGTTACTGAGTTGCTCCTGATCATACTAGATCGACTGATGTGATAAAGGATAAAGGTTTTCACTTGGCTAACTTGTTGTTGAGTTGAGAATCAAAAATACCCACAAACTAACTTGACTTGACAAGTCACATTGTCCATTGGCGGACTCTTCGGACTGGAAATCCAAGCAGAAGAGGGTCTAGCCGAGCTGAATCCCACACATACATAGGCAACAGCTGATTGAACACATCACGGGGGAAGCCATCCGTGCATTCATGAATTATGATTGGCTCTTGGAGCAATATCCTCTGCGCTGCCCATGCTAGGAAATGTGCATGGGACATTGCCGTAGCACCATCGGACAGACCAGCGGGAGACCATGCCCGGCAAACGGTTCCTGCCACATGAATTGCTGCCGTCGTGCGGCATATGCTGCACATCTTCTTGTGCTTGTAGCAGTATGCCATCCTCAGTATGACGATTTGTCTTGATGTGGTGAGTCGTCTCCGAGTCGTTGTCGTCTACACTATCACTATAGTCACTATATCCATTGAATATATGTTATGCATTGTCAGAGTGCATCATTGCCACTCAGTGTCCAGGGTCACTGGCTTGCATTAGTTTGTCATGACTGACATGACATGATGGTTTGCCAGTTCAGTCTTTTTGTTTGAGAAACTCAATCAGTCTCAAAACAGTGCTTGCAGTGTTCCCGCATTACAAGACTGCAACAGCAACACTGCACAACTCGCTTTAATAATAAACGACCAAAGGACCAATAAAGATAATAACCGACCAAAGTACCAATAAAGGACTAGCTTCGGTTGCACTGCTTTCCCACTAGCTACAAGTGGCATCAGTTTGGTCTGAAACATGTCACCCTGGTGCAGCTGTGGAAGTATGGCTTGAACTGCAGGAGTGAAGAACTGGGCAATGTCGCCAAAGAGGCAAGTGGGTGAAGATGGATGATGAATCAGTTCGCGTCGCTTCGAAGCATCCCACTCCTGATTGCAACTTGTAAAAATAAGCTTTTGGGTTTTTTGTCGACCTTTGGCATCAGAATTATGGCTTCAAATTGGCTTCAAAACAATTTCCCCACTTGGCCCAACGGTTCCCAGCCGTATATATTGATATCAAACCAAACCAAAAAAATATTCAATTCATCATTTGATTCTGGTCAATTGTCAAACCTCCCGGATTGGTACAGATTGATTGAAAATAAACACAAATGACCTTGGTCAGGCCATGTATCAACTGCATGGACATGCTCGGGAAATCCAAAGTTGTGACCTTCTCCAAGCTGATATCCGGCTGCTACCCGGAGCATCATATATGCAGTTCCCGGGCTGTCAATGCCCGAATAGGCAGTGGAGTAAGTGGATAATTGCATCTTCTTGAAGAGACACATCAACAGTTTGCATTCTGGCTGCTGGTCCATGTAGTCCCTGTCATTCAAAAAGAATGTATCCTCCACGCTCCAGTCTTGCATCTCAGGCTCTATGTGCAAGTATGTCGAGATAAAGTCATCCGGCCAGCCTCAGAAACAGCAGCTGGCACCCTGGCTAAACCATGAATAAGCAGCATATGGCATATGCACAATGCTGCCAATGATTGTGTTCGTTCTTGTTTTTTTGTGATGGAATAGAAAGAAATGGTAAAATCAAACCAACTCCGAACTCCATTTGCTGGTGAGTGTCTGTTCACGACATCAAATGGCGTCATGTTGTTGCTTCCAGCAGTGGTAGGTGCACTGATAATGATCATATCGGAATCCATATCCACATCGGACAAAGTTTGTGTTGCTGGTTGGCCGTCAACTGAATCCTCACGACTGTCACTAACTCTGCTTCCAACACCAACATCATTTG